GTGGACTGCTTGCAGAGGCAAAGGCAATGTTCGCGGCTTTCACTGAGACCCACATAAAGGATCACTTGGACAACGAAATATGGATCCCAGGTTACAACCTATACAGATGTGACAGAGTGAACAGGCAAAAGGGGGGGGGTTGGCCTGTACATTGCAGAGTCACTTGTTTGCACAGAACTGCTAAATGCCTCAAATGATGTAGTGGAAGTTTTAGCAGTAAAGGTCGAGAACCAAAACCTAGTCATTGTGATAGTCTACAAGCCTCCGGATGTAACATCCCAGCAATTCCAGGAACAGCTGTTAAAAATTGACCACTGTCTGGAAAACCTTCCAGCTCCTGCACCCAACATCTTGCTCCTGGGGATTTCAACTTAAGGCACCTAAAATGGAGGAATATAGCAAATAATATTGTTGCAGTAATAACACCAGGAGGCAGCTCTGATGAAAACTCACACTCACGCGAGCTTTTAAATCTCTGCACAAAATTCAAATTTAAACCAGCAAATAATAGAGCCTACTAGACTGGAGAATACACTAGACCTCATCTTCACTAACAATGATGATCTGATAAGAAATATCACCATATCAAAAACAATATACTCAGATCACAACATAATTGAGGTTCAGTCATGTATGCGCGGAGCCCCAGACCGACATAATGAGATTAGTCACGAGGGAGCATTCACCAAATTCAACTTCAATAACAAAAACATAAAGTGGGACCAAGTAAACCAAGTCCTAACCGATATAAGCTGGGAAGATATACTAAGCAACACAGACCCCAACTTATGCCTAGAACAGATTAACTCGGTAGCACTCGATGTATGCACAAGGCTTATTCCTCTAAGAAAAAGGAGGAGTAGATGTAAAACTGATAGAGACAGGCGTCCCTTTACAGGCGACGGAAAAGAATAACAGAGCGGCTAAAAGAGGTCAATATATCTGAAATGCGTAGGAGACACTGGTCAGAGAAATAGCAAGCATCGAACTTAAGCTAAAAGAATCCTTTAGGAGTCAGAATCGCGGGAAGAACTAAAAGCCATAAATGAAATCGAAAGAAACCCAAAGTATTTCTTCTCCTATGCCAAATCAAAATCGAGAACAACGTCCAGTATTGGGCCCCTACTTAAACAAGATGGGTCCTACACAGATGACAACAAGGAAATGAGTGAGCTACTCAAGTCCCAATATGACTCAGTTTTTAGCAAGCCGCTAACCAGACTGAGAGTCGAAGATCAAAATGAATTTTTTATGAGAGAGCCACAAAATTTGATTAACACAAGCCTATCCGATGTTATCCTGACGCCAAATGACTTCGAACAGGCGATAAATGACATGCCCATGCACTCTGCCCCAGGGCCAGACTCATGGAACTCTGTGTTCATCAAGAACTGCAAGAAGCCCCTATCACGAGCCTTTTCCATCCTATGGAGAGGGAGCATGGACACGGGGGTCGTCCCACAGTTACTAAAAACAACAGACATAGCCCCACTCCACAAAGGGGGCAGTAAAGCAACAGCAAAGAACTACAGACCAATAGCACTAACATCCCATATCATAAAAATCTTTGAAAGGGTCCTAAGAAGCAAGATCACGCATCTAGAAACCCATCAGTTACACAACCCAGGGCAACATGGGTTTAGAACAGGTCGCTCCTGTCTGTCTCAACTATTGGACCACTACGACAAGGTCCTAAATGCACTAGAAGACAAAAAGAATGCAGATGTAATATATACAGACTTTGCAAAAGCCTTCGACAAGTGTGACCATGGCGTAATAGCGCACAAAATGCGTGCTAAAGGAATAACAGGAAAAGTCGGTCGATGGATCTATAATTTCCTCACTAACAGAACACAGAGAGTAGTCGTCAACAGAGTAAAGTCCGAGGCAGCTACGGTGAAAAGCTCTGTTCCACAAGGCACAGTACTCGCTCCCATCTTGTTCCTCATCCTTATATCCGACATAGACAAGGATGTCAGCCACAGCACCGTGTCTTCCTTTGCAGATGACACCCGAATCTGCATGACAGTGTCTTCCATTGCAGACACTGCAAAGCTCCAGGCAGACATCAACCAAATCTTTCAGTGGGCTGCAGAAAACAATATGAAGTTCAACGATGAGAAATTTCAATTACTCAGATATGGTAAACATGAGGAAATTAAATCTTCATCAGAGTACAAAACAAATTCTGGCCACAAAATAGAGCGAAACACCAACGTCAAAGACCTGGGAGTGATCATGTCGGAGGATCTCACCTTCAAGGACCATAACATTGTATCAATCGCATCTGCTAGAAAAATGACAGGATGGATAATGAGAACCTTCAAAACTAGGGAGGCCAAGCCCATGATGACACTCTTCAGGTCACTTGTTCTATCTAGGCTGGAATATTGCTGCACACTAACAGCACCTTTCAAGGCAGGTGAAATTGCCGACCTAGAAAATGTACAGAGAACTTTCACGGCGCGCATAACGGAGATAAAACACCTCAATTATTGGGAGCGCTTGAGATTCCTAAACCTGTATTCCTTGGAACGCAGGAGGGAGAGATACATGATTATATACACCTGGAAAATCCTAGAGGGACTAGTACCGAACTTGCACACGAAAATCACCCACTACGAAAGCAAAAGACTTGGCAGACGATGCACCATCCCCCCAATGAAAAGCAGGGGTGTCACTAGCACGTTAAGAGACCATACAATAAGTGTCAGGGGCCCGAGACTGTTCAACTGCCTCCCAGCACACATAAGGGGGATTACCAACAGACCCCTGGCAGTCTTCAAGCTGGCACTGGACAAGCACCTAAAGTCAGTTCCGGATCAGCCGGGCTGTGGCTCGTATGTTGGTTTGCGTGCAGCCAGCAGCAACAGCCTGGTTGATCAGGCTCTGATCCACCAGGAGGCCTGGTCTCAGACCGGGCCGCGGGGGCGTTGACCCCCGGAACTCTCTCCAGGTAAACTCCAGGTAAACAATGCTTCAGAGTGTGTCAGGGAAGGATAGAGCCCACCTCCTGGCAGTGAGAGCCCCTCATGCTGGGGACTTTCTGTTGGCTGTTCCCAACTCCAGCCTTGGCACACGTCTCGACCCACAGACCATCCGCATCGGTGTTTGCCCTTCGACTTGCCCGCCCCTATTCTCGCCGAACACAGGTGTATTTGTGGCAGTGAAGCAGCAGACCGATTCGGGTACCATGGTCTTGTGTGCCGTAAATCCGAGGGAAAGATTGCAAGACATGAGGAGGTTAATAACATTATCAAGAGGAGCCTCACAACAGCCGGATGCCCAGCAGTAAGGGAGCCACCCCAACTATGCAGATCTGATGGCAGCCAGAAGCGTCCAGATGGTATCACCCTTCAAACCTGGACAGATGGGAAGCAGGTGGTGTGGGACTATACATGTGCATCTACCTTGGCTGATACCTATCTCCAATACACCAGGGAGGAAGGAGGGGCAGCTGCCAGCTTCAGGGAGTCCCAAAAGTCTAGAAAATATGGAGAACTTGCCCATCATTATATGTTTGTTCCCATAGGCTCAGAGACCCTTGGCTCATGGGGAAAGAGTGCATCTAAATTCCTTAAGGAGCTGGAATAAGACTCATCAGGGTAACTAGGATCCCAGGGCAGCTAGTTTTCTGTTCCAGCGGCTCAGTGCGGCTGTTCAAAGGGGTAATGCCTGCTGTATTTTGGGCACACGCCCCAGCTTTGAGGAGCTGGATGAGATTTTCGCCTTATAATCGGTGATACACACGTAACAACATGTACCGTATATGCCACCTTAATATCAACAATGGATCTCTTAAATCGTCTGTACCATATTATGTAATATAATATAATATATATATAATATAATATATATATATATATAATATATATAATATATATATATATATATATATATATATATATATATAAAGCAGCTCCACAATATAGTGTAACTGATGTTAATATAAACAGTATACATAAATCCTAAATGAAACAATATCAAAATTTAAAACAGCAGTCTGTAAATATAAATACCTGAATAAAATTGACTTAGTTTACTTTTGTGAGAATGAACAAAAAAGTATACAGTACTAGTATGTATCTGGACAGTGTTTCTCTTAAGAGCGAAATGTCGTCCAAATAAAGGCTTCTTCTGTAGACTTGAACTCTGAGCTCTGATCCTCGTACCAATCATAGTGACGCCGTAAAAAAAAAAGTTACCAATAATAAAGTTACCCATAATAAATCATGCTGGTGTTTGATCATGTGTCTTCAAATACAAACAATTTCAGCTGTGTCAACACAAACCTCAGTATATACAACAGTGTATAATATCATCAACAAGTGTCTTGCACAATCTGTTACCTAAACAAAAAGTTTCCGGCAGGTTAGTATGAACGTACTGGCAACAGTGTAATGAGTTGCCAGATTTACGCCCCTCAAGGAAGGTTCCTTGATGTTGGTGAGGGGCTCTTGATTTAGGGAATTGGATCTGTGCTCCAGTTCCCCGAATTAAGCCTGAATGCCTTCCACATCCCCCCCCCAGGCGCTGTATAATCCTCCGGGTTTAGCGCTTCCCCCTTGATTATAATAATAATAATAATGCCAGAGTTACGAATTTTCTGAAGGAGTACCGTAGGTAGCCACAGCGGGTGTGTGATTGTGGTCTTCTCGACGGCTGTCATTGTCCATCTTTACCACACTGAAAGCCTACTGAAATTAAATAATGTAAAGTTGGCACCTGGGATATCAGTTCCGCAGTCCGAATGCTTAACTGATCGTCCCTCTGAAGTTTGCCGGCAAAGTTCACTCAGCTCTTTACAGACTATACAGTAGATATGCTAATTTTAAGATAGTGTTTGCTCTAAACTTATAAAATAACTTAGTTCATTACAAACAAATTATGTTGGGTACGCGACTGCGTAGTAATTCCGCACAACACTCGTACAAGATTTAGTGTTTTAAGAATATCAGTTTTTTCAGTAAAATTATATCCAGAGTGATGTCCACACTCACCTCCTGACATTGTTGCTGAAGTACTGAAGTGTGAACTAGAGGAGCAGAGGGAGCAGAGGGTCTTGTCTTGGTGGATGGAGAAGCTGAATTGAAGAACAACAGGAAGACCAACAACCACTGGACCCCTTCCAGCTACACTCCCTCACAGTTGCCACCAGTGTCTCTCAACTTTATCGCCCAGAACGCATAATACGCACACTTTTACTTCCTCTTATATAGTGCTAGTTATAGCTCGATCCCCGGCGTATGTAATATGCAAACAGTGAAATATATATAACGTGTTAATTGGGAATTAAAGTGAGTTTTGGTAACGTGTGTGGACGGGCTACGCGCTGGCGTGGTCACATCAATAACACATGAACGCCGGGGGGGAGGCTTGAAATATCATGTTTATAACCGGTGTCTTCCAGATACCTACGGGAGGAAACCAGCTAAGACTCCATTTCCAATCCCCTCTTGTGTGAAAAGCACTTAAAAGCTTTCATTCACGTCCTGTCCGTCATAATGCTATCGATGGAGTCGGATTCAAACCTGAGGTGAGCGGAAACGAATGGGCAACTCTCCTAGAAGCAGTTGCCCCTCCCAAGCACTACACAGGTACCTGGATATTATTCCACTGTCACCACATGTACAGGTGGCATCCTAGGAGGTAGCAGTATATCCTTGATAGGGCTGGACTCTGAAATGAGCTGTTGGGATAATCGCTCTTAGCCTAGAAATCGAGGTTAAAATATCCACAGCAGATAATGTAACTTAGCTTATACATTCTCTTCGGAATTTTATCAGTAAACTGATTGCGCGTTATCACAGATAACTTGCTCTGGATTAAAGGACTCCTCAGCCTTGATGCTGGTGAGAGGCTCTTGATCTGAGGACTTGGATATGTGCTCCAATTCCTTGAATCGAGTCTCAACGTCCTCCGGCTCCGCCCCAGGCGTTCCGTTACCCCGACAGGTTTAGCGTTCTGTGTATGACTAATACTAGCAGAATGAGATATTCGGAAATTGTTGCCATAATGTGTTATTCAACTGTCTGATGTATAATTATTACAGCCAGATTTATGTACCATTATAGTTGTGGAAAATAATGTATTTCCTGGAAAAAATACAGTGTATTTTTTTATGTAAATTAGTGTAATACATTGTATTTAATAAAATTTGTTGTAAAAAAATGGGAAGTTCTGCGCCTGCGCAGAAGAGACTCGCCATGTTTGAACTAGTCAACACAAACGTTAGTGAATAATCGGAAGAATTTTCGTGCTCTAGAGGTTAAATTGGGCTGACACCTCTCAAATAGGAGCCGAAATTGTTGGATGTGCATTCCTGCATAATTTGAGATATCGGGCGACTGGACAAGACAGCTCCAGGAACCTTAGATAAGCTATCTAAATTGTGTTGTAATTCTGGCTAGTATTATCATCATAAATTTAGTTAGAATGAGTTTTTTTTTTTTAGTATGATACACATTAATCTCCAGTCAAATTGGTGAGTGATATTAAGATATATTCTCCTTCTGTTATATAAATGTGTATAAGTATCATATATTAATTTTAATATACAGTCCACCAATTTTTATATTTACCAGAATTCCTGGTGTGTATGTACATTTCATTTGTAATTATAGGTCTAGAGCAACTTGTGGACATGACAGTTGTAGGTATCGAAGGGGGACATTTTTGTGACCTAGGTGTCCTAAATTCCTACTTGTCTAAGTAACTTTGATAAATAATAATTATCTGTGTTACCATTTACTGGTATGTACCTTATGAATTACATCCAGATAAATGCAATTTTCCACAATAGTTATTATTTAAAAAATAAATGAACGAAGAAATTAAATAAATAAATAAATACTTTATTTCCACACGATATATTACGTAATTTTAAAAAATGAATTACATTTATGCAGAACACCTAACAAGGTTAAAGCTGGAAATACGTTGACCTAATAGACCTATAGAAGGACTTTCGTCACCACGGTGCCCCGTGGCCTGATGAATAAAGCTCACGCTTCACACAGCGAGTATCCGGGTTCGATTCTCGGCGAGGGTAGAAACATTCGGCGTGTTTCCTTACACCGTTTGTTTATGTTTCCCATCAATGGGTACCTGGGTGTTAATCGACTGGTGTGGGTCGCATCCTAGGACAAAATTTACCTAATTTGCCCGAAATGCTCAGCATAACAAGCGGCTTTGTATATAGTAGTATGTCACTGATGTCAGCTAGGACTGTATACTTGTAGTAAATAAAGATATTATTAGGTCCTCGTCAAGCCCTGAGTGAGCTATGTGACACATAAGGTGAGAGCAAGAGCTGTGTTTACCCAACATCTCCACCAGTGTCACACGGGATGGTAATTTATTCACTGGTTGTGTGGTCATATTAGCTACGAGTTTGTCTTGAAATCTTCCACATGATGGTGAGTCAACTATGAAGGTGCCTTGATGGCACCTTCTTTCCCACTTAGCTCCCATTTTCTGGGTTGTCTATGCCTTCTAAGGCTGTGATAAATACCTAAGTATGGAACTAAATCTCACCTCTCCAGTATGTTACTGCACAGGTAGAGTGATCTATGCAGTTACTTTTATGAAATACAATTCTAATAGCAGTAAAAGTTACTTTTAAATCATATAGGGTTAATAAAAACCTTTATGAAGTGTGAAGTGCAGCGAGGACTGAAGTTCCTGCCTGAGTTAACATGTACAGAATGTGTGACTAGTTTACGATTGACAGGCCTATCATTATTATTACAGAGGAAGCGCTAAATACGGAGGACTTATACAGCGCCTGAGGAATATGAGAGGCAATTAAGCTTGATTGAAGGAAGGGGTAGACAGGTCTAGTTCCTTGCATCTAGAGCTCATCATCAGTGCCACCTAAGAGGCTGATTTTCAGAAGCATTGGTCAACCACCTGAACGTTGGTGAGACTGTCATTCCTGTGACTATATCTTGTAACATCTCAGCTCCCGCAGCGAGCTGGAGGAACTGTCGCTCAGACTGGGAAACTTAGATATTATTACCTATACAACTATCAAGGAACTCCGATATTGGTAAAATTACCTGAATCTGTAAAACAGCACTTATAAACACACAAAAAAAGCCGAAAAATTCAATTAAGTAAATTATTAGAGACTATTGAGCTGGATGCAATATAAACAAGTTGTGGGTGACAGTAAAGACTTTCGGGTTAATCCCCTGATGATCAAGTTCATTATATACTAGAAACTAATATAAATGACTATCGATACCTTATCAAAGGCAGAATATGATCGTTTCAATCACTGGTACATTATTACACTGGTACATTATTACACTGGTACATTATTATACTGCTACATTATTACACTGGTACATTATTACACTGGTACATTATTACACTGGTACATTATTATACTGGTACATTATTACACTGGTACATTATTATACTGGTACATTATTACACTGGTACATTATTACACTGGTACATTATTACACTGGTACATTATTACACTGGTACATTATTACACTGGTACATTATTACACTGGTACATTATTACACTGGTACATTATTACACTGGTACATTATTATACTGGTACATTATTACACTGGTACATTATTACACTGGTACATTATTACACTGGTACATTATTACACTGGTACATTATTACACTGGTACATTATTACACTGGTACATTATTACACTGGTACATTATTACACTGGTACATTATTACACTGGTACATTATTACACTGGTACATTATTATACTGGTACATTATTACACTGGTACATTATTACACTGGTACATTATTACACTGGTACATTATTATACTGGTACATTATTACACTGGTACATTATTATACTGGTACATTATTACACTGGTACAATACTACAACCTGGATATAATATACAGGTTATGCTATTGCCATCACTGAAGAACACGCACCTCGGTATCTGGACCATTTAAGCAAAGACTAAAGTACAATAACTGATAAGAAAATGCATTTTAGTGAGTATTATATCTAATAATAATTTGAAGTCTAATTTGCAGCTGTTATATGGAAGTGAGTTAGGGTTAATGACAGTGTTTGGTAAATAGTGGGGCATGTGGGTGTTATTACCAGAAGAAGGACGATCATAACATACATCGCTACATACATACATACCCAGAGAAGTGTATTTCTCTCAGCATATATATATATGTCGTGCCGAATAGGTAAAACTGGTCAATTAGCAAGAACTCATTCAAAATTAAGTCCTTTCTAAAATTTTATCTTATACGTTTAAAGATATATTTTTTTCATTTACGTTTATGTAAAAATTAATAATTTTCTACCAAAAGAACTTTAGAAAACTTACCTAACCTTATAACAAACGCAATTTAATGTAGCCTAAACCAACTAAATATATTTTAGATAAGTTTACAGCAATTTAATAATAAACACAAAGAAATATTTTTTTTGCGTTAGGTTCAGAATGATTTTTGCGAAATTATTACATACACAATTTTTGCTTGCCTTATTCGGCAAGAAGAGCGTTGCTATTTAAGGCAAAAATCGCAAGTTTTACCTATTCGGCACGACATATATATATATATATATATATATATATATATATATATATATATATATATATATATATATATATATATATATATTATCACACTGGCCGATTCCCACCAAGGCAGGGTGGCCTGAAAAAGAAAAACTTTCACCATCATTCACTCCATCACTGTCTTGCCAGAAGGGTGCTTTACACTACAGTTTTTAAACTGCAACATTAACACCCCTCCTTCAGAGTGCAGGCACTGTACTTCCCATCTCCAGGACTCAAGTCCGGCCTGCCGGTTTCCCTGAACCCCTTCATAAATGTTACTTTGCTCACACTCCAACAGCACGTCAAGTATTAAAAACCATTTGTCTCCATTCACCCCTATCAAACACGCTCACGCATGCCTGCTGGAAGTCCAAGCCCCTCGCACACAAAACCTCCTTTACCCCCTCCCTCCAACCTTTCCTAGGCCGACCCCTACCCCGCCTTCCTTCCACCGAACCACCTCAACAACCCTTCCTCAGCCCTCTGGACAACAGTTTTGGTAATCCCGCACCTCCTCCTAACTTCCAAACTACGAATTCTCTGCATTATATTCACACCACACATTGCTCTCAGACATGACATCTCCACTGCCTCCAGCCTTCTCCTCGCTGCAACATTCATCACCCATGCTTCACACCCATATAAGAGCGTTGGTAAAACATGGGTGATGAATGTTGTGTGCGCGCGCTCGCTGAAAGTTTGATCTAATTTATATTTTAGGAATTAAAGTATTCTTGTTTGATGTTGAAAAGGTCACGTCCAGCCTTAATGGTCCTCACACGGTCAATATATACTTTAAACTCCGTTAACCACCCAACCAACATGTGTTAACATCTACAGGGCAAAGGTACTTAACATCTGTTAGTGGATGAATAAGACACATGGGCGACACTTGGTATCTTTGAGGCGTTTTTCCCTAGCCAGGGAGCTTAGCCAATCTAACACAGATATGTGACTGTTGCCTTTTATATTGGTGCCAGTTGAAGACAGCCTGATGCAGCAGTTGTAGACGTGGTCACATGTGGGCGGGGTCCACTAGTGGAAGTAGTATCTGCTGGAAGGAGCTGGAAGATGTGTGTTTGTGTGTGTGTGGACATATATAATATATATATATATATATATATATATATATATATATATATAT